CTTTATTTCTTATCGGATCGCTATTGATTTGGTTACGAGCTGCCTTTTAAAATTTCACAATACGAACTTTTTTTAACGTCAACTCTTACAAGAATCGATAGTGTATTTGTGGGAGTAGTATGTAAGTGAATTCCTGCCACCGACCTGCTCTACCCAAAACCCCTCTGGTCTGGAACTCGATCCATCTGTCTGCTCAGCTAGTTCACTTCGAGACAAATATACTCTTGTGAGGATCACGTGCTGAAAAGCAGTGAAGACATGTAGGGAAAATATTGGAAGAAATAGATAGCACGTGGAACTGCTGAACTAAAATTCTACGAGGCTGCTTTTGGCCTTCTGCGCAGCCAGATCAGCCTAGGTTTAGACCTTGGCTATCCATGTAGGCAAGCCACCATGTAATTCGAAGGCAGAATTTATGATGAAAAGCTAGCTTTGGAATAAGGGTAGAGGTGGTCAGTGGAGCAGGGATGAAGAAGAAACCATTTGAAACGGCCCGAAACCCGAGAAATGGGCCCCTTCCTTGCCCGTTGATTTGCGCATTGATGCGACTCTCATCGCTGTGCCCTCTTCAACACTACGCTCTCTCTGCTATCTAATCACTCGCCACGTATAGACCTGCGGCGAGTGATTAGATAGTCGGTGGGCGTACCCCGCCAACCGCGCCAAGAGTGAGCCATGCTAGATCGCCGAGGTCAAATCTTTCGCTGCCAATTGCGCGTCGGTCAGCACCCTCAGAGGTCCGCCTGTCTCCCAACTATGCAATTTTTCCCTTCTTTTACCCTTCTTTGACCTTCGTTCTTATCGTGAATTCCTCCTTCAAGGTTTAGTCATATCTGATCGTATCTTCTATTGCTCATGTCGTATCCACTATTGCCTGCCCCTTATGTGTGCTTACGACTTCGGAGAGCGACTGCACGATTTCGAGGGTGGAAGCTGAAGTTCTGCTCAAGACAAAACTTCCACTGTCCGCCTCGAATAAAAACTGGCTGTTCAGACTGCTCTTGTTCCTTTGCTGCCATCTGTGTGCTTTAGGAATCCAGTTAGCTTACTCTAGGTGGCCTATGTTGCGATTTCTTAATCTTCTAATTTTTCTCCTGCTCAAAAAAGAATGTGATGCTTGTTCAGATAGCCACAAAGTTTTTCTTGGTTTTGAACATAGCGATCTTGCCTAAGCATTACCTTATAAATTTTATTTTGGCACCTCATGGAGAGTTCTAAAGAAGAAAGTAAAGAAGACGTAAGTTGCTTTGTGACCTCATGTTCCGGTTCCAATTCAACTGCTGAGAATTTCTTCACGAGGAAGCAGGAGCTTTCTGCACAAAAAACGTATTAAAAGCTTCTGTCCCTTCTTACATAAATGAAGACAATCCGTCCATGCCATACCGTGCTCTCTCTCATTTTTTGTACCAGATTAGTCCCCCGTCAACCGCCGGGACCTTCCTTTCCTGCGCAAGCTTTCTATCCTCCGCTATGGTCCCTTCCTCCTGTGACACCAACACCTCTGGAAGTGACGCGTATGCAACACAATGGTGTTTCATACAGTAGAAGGGACACAATCATGATATGACGGTAGATTTTTCGCTTCCCTTCCTCATCCTCCCTTCCTCTCTCCACTGCCCTCCAGCTGCCACTGCAGCACCATGTGGAATGAACGGAAGTGTGCTAAGCAGGTGTTTATATAGCCCTAAGAGTGTTATCACAACTATCCTGCTACAAAACATTGATATCTCAAATCCTGTAAGCTACCCGATTTGTTAGCGGTTTGTTTATCCCATGAGCTTCCTTCTCACTCACTTCATTTTGCGGACGGACACACATACATACATACACACACACACACACACACACACTCACACACACACACATACAGATACACAAACCGACACACAAAGTTAGCGCTTTATATAATAGAAGGATAAGATAAATTGGTGGGATGTCGGTGCGTGCTACGAGCTTACTTCTTAAACATCGCAGAAGGACCAGAAATCGGATGTGAACTGCTCTAAAACTACTTGGCCCGAATTTCGTTCACGATAGGACTTCCTTGCCGGTCACGAAATTGTTCACGAAAAAAAATGGGGAAGGTAGTTCCGATAAAAAAAAATCATGGACCAGTGGCTGAAAGATTTGATATTGGGCTGTAAATGAGGTACATAGCAAAGTACTGTATATTAATGCTATGTGACTAGTTAAAGGGTAAAGATAAAGGATCAGTTATTGTATTAACTTTTTGCAGCACGTTCCCGGTCATAAACGAAGTGGAGTGCAGTGGAAAATTCCGCTTTTCCTTCGAGATCCGCTCACACTGAAACCGACAGTGCACTGGCTGATAGAGAATAACACAGGTTAGCAATCGTGAAATCCTTCAAATTGTGTGCCGCGGATTGCACCAAAAGCCTCTTCCAAAAGCTAGTTTCTTAGAGCCACAGTTGAATTCGGTTTGGATTTTCGCAATGGTGCACATTTTCTAGGCGGTGTGGCTGTGTTTACCACGTTAACACATCAACCATACAGAGAAGGAGATCATTATTTTCAATATCTCGAGCGATTACTTTTTTTTTGCTACTGCCCATCCATTTCATGCCTCTGCTTGAATTTTTAACAAGCAACCATTTCAATATGGTCGTAGAAAGCACCTTTGAGAACTTTTCACCACACCAGTGATGACCAAATTTTCCACCACACCAGTAGATGACCAATGTCGGAGTCGAATTCCGTAACATAGATAGTAACGGTTAAAAGTTCGCTGAAACGCTTTTTCGTGCATTTCATTTCTTTCCTACAGAGAAGAATCGGAAGATTAGTTTGAAGCCATTTCTTTTGGATATCTGAACTCTTCAACAGTCGAGGTTTCAAAAGGCTCTTAGAGGCATGTCTTAGTAACACTTGAAGTCACTGTTTTGAGTGGAAAATGATGCACGAAAAACGTTTCAGCGAACACTTTTGCCGCTACTGTTCTTCAATATGATCTATTCACAAAAGCTCAACTATCTCTAATCTCCTCGAATTTTTGTCGCCTGATTGTTGTTCATACTGCGTGCGCAAAGTGCTTCTAATGGCAGAGATCTTGATTTGAACTGAATGGGAGTGACAAGTGCGAGCACAAACTTTGAGGCACGAATAGAAAAAAGATCCTTGGGGAATTATCCTCCTTTAGTGAGCTAGCAGGACCCCTAATCACAGGGTTGGTGTTACTTTCGCGACTTGAAAGCGTGCACCAAAGGAGCTGATGCTCAACTTTATCGTGCAACCGCACCTTCCTTACAAGGACGAATTCACGCTGGAAAGGCAACCCATTTCAAATTAACTTAGCGACGCTCTCTCACCTATCTAATCACTCGCCACGTATAGACCTGCGGCGGTCATGATCGGTGGGCGTGCACTGGCCCACCGCGCCAAGATTGAGCCTTAATAGGTCGCCGAGGTCAACTCTCGTATTTTCCCTCATCCTCTCAGCGCTGTGGCTCTTCGTCGAACCAGAGTCTCCTCACAAAGGGGATTTCACGGTTTTTTATAGTGTTTTTTTGCTTTCTTCTCCGCTGACGTTCTTCGTACTTGTCCTTCGAGAAACGAACAAAATACCACTTCACCTTGACCGTGACCTGTGCCTTCAAGAACAACATACTATATTTTGTTCAAAATCGCTGTGATTAAACAACAGCGATCGGTCTATATTCAACGAGAGTGAGGTGATGAAGTGATCGGATTTTGGTAAGAGGTCGTGCAGACGCTTCGCACAAGCTTCTATTTATTTTTGATTTGCGTGCTTTGTTTGCTGAGCTCGACCGATCCTACCCACATCAGCTCTGCTACTACATGTCCACGATGCTCAGCTAGCTCCTCAGTGCATTTTCCTCGAAACGTACGCGGTTGCGAGATAGCGAGCGTTGTCTTGAGAGTCACAAAGTCAGAATAAGAATTGGTGCTTAATTTGGACAAATGCCTAGAGCGGCAGAGTCTACACATGACTTCTAAAATACTCGGCGGGATTAAGCAGTTCACAAGGGCGAGGAGAAGAAAAAATATGAGTCGCTCATATATTTTACATTTTACAACATTTAGACGCAGTGCCGTGAAGGAGATAAACATTGTAGCCTTACGGGTGCTTACGGGAAACTGAACTATGCAAATTCGGATGTTTCGCAGAGTAGACCTCTACCACCATGCGCCGATAGTAAAGATCTAACCTTGAGATTTCCTGCTCAAATTGTTCCAGAATAACGTTGCAAGATTGTTGCAAGACATTCTCCCAACCTAATATTTCAGAGCGACCACCTAATGCTTCACTTTTCTAGGGGGTAGGGAATGTTTTTGGGTGATTTTCGGCAAGTATCTGCAAAATATATTGTGATTGAAGAGGCAGTGTTGATGATTCAGGTCTACATAGTCTGAACAACCATGCAACTAATCATTTAGATATCATGTTTAGCAATAATTGACCTGGGCACTGACATCGTGCTGGATCGAGAAGGACGCAATTTTGTACGGGTGAGATATGACACGGCCTTATACCTCGAAATTACGGCACGACTTCATGCAGACGCCAACTGCATACCAGTTGCGGCAAGGTATTTAATTGTTCGTAGCAAAAAGGTACTACTCATAAGCGATCTCTTTAGGACTCGTCTCATGGATGACTCCTTCACTTTGGCCGAAATCGGGAATCTCTCCTATGTTCACGCACTAAACATCTCGGTTTATCTCAGAAAAGAGGTAATTTATTCCCTAGCTCCCGTAACATTGGAACAATGTCCCATTATTTCACAACAGATATTCTCTTGTGCATGTCATACCTGTGCCAGGGCGGAAATGTTGTAATGGAAAGTGACATCGCTTACCAAGCGCACGGTCAGGGGATCAAATCCCGGGCCGCGCGCCTATTACAGGCCTTCCATGCGCGGTATCGGTTAATTGGTACCAGGCCTGTATTGGAGAATAAGAACGCTTACTTACCCATTAACCGGCTTCACCGAGTCATTGTATAGGCGAAATATCACCTATTGTTAGGATTCCACCCAATACTGAACGGAAGCCGAATGCATGGCGCATTCCAAAGGCGTGTTGATAGGCGCAAACACTTTATCCTTGTTATGCTTTACACCAAGACAGATAGCAGAACCTCAATTCGTAATTGGGTACGATGAGGACTTACCAGGGAAGGCATTCAACTTCCCATGGAACTTTGAATTAAGACCCAGATATAGATCGATAGAGCTTCAAACGCTGATTACAAATATGGAAACTAAAACTGCAAAATGAACCTGCCAAGGAAGTTGTGAGCAGTCAAAAATAGCGGAATTGAAGCGTAACATATGAACCGTGCTAGGTCCTGGCATTCGAAATATGTTAGTCTGCTAGGCACTCAAAAGTGCGCCTGAATAGTTGGTTAGTGCATCTTGAACTTTGCACACGACCGGGAAACAAATTATGACCTCCTACGTTATGCTAGAGCAAGGGGCAGTCCCGCACTGCAACGTGCGCTTTAAAAGCCCGTAAGCGCTTACGCACTGCGTTCATGTATAACGATATTACTTACAGCCAACTTTCACTGCTCGCGACTTCTTTGGCAGGTTCATTTTGCAGTTTTAGTTTCCATATTTGTAATCAGAACCTCTATCGAGCTGTATGGGTCTTAATTCAAAGTTCCATAGGAAGGTTCGAATGCCTTCCCTGGTAGCAATATAAGGAAATTAGACTATTATATTATTATTGCACTTGCATCATGCTTGTCATATTCTTATTTCAGACGCACGAAGTTATTACGCTTGGTCATATCTTATTTCATGCGCAAGTGACTGAAGCGTTAAACATCAAAAAGAAAAGGTAATGACATCAAGAAGATAAAATCAAGTGCATGGGAACGCGGCCTAGCTTCATGCGTGTCGTGTCTGTATTACTATTGAGGAACTTTCAGTCACAAAAGTGCTGGGTTACGAGCTAAGCCTTGGCCCGAGACGGGATTCGAAACCGCATCCTTACTCAGTGGGCACTTGTGCCAGCAGTTAACAAACCAAACAATTTAATTTAGTAATCGGATTTATTTCAGAGAGCATACCCACCAGTTAAGATGTTACACGCTCATCTGGATTTTCTCGTGTCTCACGTCTCACAGGCCATCCACAGTTATACGATATTCCAGGTGTTTGCACCTTATCACGTTCTTTTTTTAATAGTAACCCTGAAGCTTAAAGTTCAATTCACATCAGTCAGTAGTTAAGCATAGAAACTAGGAAGTGAACTTTGATCTTTCTGTTTTTGAGTATTATGAATATTTATGTGTTAATAGTGAGTAGTTCCTCACAGCCATTCTGCGAGGTTTACCTTTTTGAAGGACTTCATCATAACAATTCTGGAACCATTGTTCGAACATTTCCGGCAAAATCCAGTCTCTAACGAAGGAGTGAAGCTGCATGAAGAGTAAGCTATTGCCCGTTCACATCTCGATTTTAATATGTAATCTCAGTTGAATGAAGGCTACTCAGTGATCTGCGAAGTACGGTATTCTCTCGGGTCTGCTTAAATGGCTACTCCACCTGTTTCTCGTATTCCCAAGCTCTCATGGAGAGATTGAGGTTATCCTGTGCCAACGCAATGCTCAGCAATCGGACGTGCAATGTGTGAGTATCATCTAATTGTGGGAAGGTGACCGGAAACTGTTTCAGTACTCAAAGGTAGCGAATGTGATACAATGGGTGCGCAAACCTAAGCAGTTACACGGCAAAGAAAGCAAGGTGTTGAGTTTTCGTGACGTTTGGCGAGCTTGCAGCCTAGAAGGGCTCCAAGATTAAAGGCAATGACGCCCCAGAGCCATTTTTCCCACCAGTGTGTTGCCAGCAGCAGCATCTTTCGGTATTCATTCTGGAAAAGCGTTTCACTTTTAGCAACCTTATCCTTCAGTTCATTTGGGTATTCCCCTACCAACTAAATAATGGTGTTGGCTGTGGGGGTTAACACATCCAGCAGACTCACTTGGTTTCTGACTCGTCCAAAGTCAATAATCTACACGGGCAGACAGAGGGATCTCGATCTACGTGTTCTTGATGAACCTCTGCTTTCTTCGTTAGCGACGCATCGTTTAGCACCCTCCTTCCACTATAATCCTACCCAAAATCTATCGTAATCATTGCCTTTAGGGCTACTGAGAAATTTCTAAAAATTTTATCCACTTCTGTAGGATCGTTTTTAATGGGTCATCGTGTTCTCTGTAGGATACCACCGTACCTTCGTCAACCGATTTATGCGACAGCTGTGATGTATGGAGACGAGGAAATGTTCGAATTCTTGCATTCCAAATGGGAGATGGAAGTCTATCAAACGGAACGGGAACGAATTTGGATTGCGCTAGGAGCTAGCAAGAAGAAAGAACACATTCACAGGTCAGAGAAGGTTTTGAAGGCAATGAGCTAACGCTCACAACGAAATTTACCTTACCCGTAGTTTACCGGCTTTTATCTTTGATATACCGAGTATAATTTTTATTTGATTCTAACGTATAGACGGAGTCACCCTGATAGACTCCTGAACGCATTTGCGCCACGAACGAAAGAAATGGTGAAGGTAATCAAGCGCATGACGGCGAGGTTTGGCGAAGGCAGCTCATAGTAAGGTTGACAATAAATATCTCCGTTTTTTACGGTCCATTGTCTGATATGCTCGAATATTTTCAAAGTGTGTGCAGCTGGATAAGCGCGCGATCGTCTTGTACATTTTGATGTGCATCATTTGTGTATTTACTTGCACTGACGGGAGGCTTACCAGGAAAGGTCTTTCAGGGCGTGACAAGCTTTTTGAAAACGGTCTTTTGCATGATATAGGGGCAGATGCGGGAACCACAGAACCATGTTCAATTTTTCCTGAACGGCCCTCTGAATACCAGAAAAGGAGGTCCCTAGTTCGATTCCTCGTGGTAACAAATTTTTGCATTTCGAATAACGTCAAAATCGCGCGCGAAATGGTGTCAGCTTGGATAATTAGTACCTTTTTGATATTCATGATGAGGACCGTCAGTACCGTCAGGAATCGAACTAGGGACCCCTTTTCTGGTATTCAGAGGGCCGTTCAGGAAAAATGAACCATGGCTCTGTGGTTCCCGCATGTGCCCCTATATCATGCAAAAGACCGTTTTCAAAAAGCTTGTCACGCCCTGAAAGACCTTCCTGGTTAGGCTCTATCAAAATGAATGCCCTGCTGATGAGTGACGGTGAGCTCGAAACCGAATGCTCTGCTACCTGCTCGTAGAACGCGAGACGTGATGAAAGGCCATGTTGGCGAGAAGAATGTCCGAGGGTTTGTCGATTTAGCATTTTGTTGCTATTTTGTTTGTTGGTAGTAAACTTTATAAGGGATGACAACGAGGATAATTATTACTGCAACCATTTGGAATGTCGCTTGGTGAAGGTGCCGTTCAGAAAAGAGAAATCAGCAGAAATAAACGTAGTAGAGCGGATGTGGTGGCGGATCGAAGCAAAAACCTGAAGAGTTGGCCCTAAGCAGCCGAGACAGGGACTCCTTCTCTGCTCGTCGATTTGCGCATTGACACGACTCTCATCGTTGCTGTCCACTTCAACGCTTACGGTCTCTCTGCTGATCGGCTAGAGACCTGCGGCGGATGGTTAAGGCAAACCCCGGGATTGAACTGGTATTACAAGCACCTCTTAGTGATAGCTTAGCTGCGGAACGACCTGAAAGTGGAGAGGAAAGCAAGAGAAATCTTCGGGAACGTTGAAATTGAGGCTCTAATTTTTCAGTAAAGGCTCGAACGTGGTACGATAGCGAGAGAGGGGTCAAAGAAGACAAAATACGCGAGAGAGCACGTCGTTCGAGAGAGCACGCTGATCTCACCATCTCTCGCGGTGGGTGGGGAGCGTTCGGAAAATCGGGGTCGATGGTTGCGGCCCGTAAGGATTAGCGCCCTAACCGTGCAATTTCAGATGACGAGGTTGAGGATCTTGGGTAGGTAGCGGATTACGAATGTCATCGTGTGTCCCCTATCCTAACTAGTCGCTACTCCGAGTTTGCCTTCAACCGAGGTATGCGACAGTATGGAGAGCTCTGCTTGGTCGATGGGTCAGCGTCAGCTCCTGAGGACTTGCGTGTTGATCTGCATCCTCAGGAGTCGCCTCTTTCAGCGTTTGATTTTACCATCGTCGCCGCTTCTCTGTCGTAAAATTCTCTCTAAATAAATTCAAGTAAGGTCGAAAAACACGTCGGTCAGTGTGGCCAGAATCTCTTTTTCGTTCGACGGCGTCTTCTACTTCAACCTCAGAAACATGGTCAACTGGCGAAGCGAGCCTTTTTCAATGCTTGTATAAAGAAGAAACATCATAGCGAATGCATTGCGAAAATACCGCCCTAACAGTGTGAGCCACGGTTGTTTCAAAAGAGGAGAGCAGGTCGATGTGGCCAAGTAACAACCACACACCACTGACGTATTTTTGGAACTGCTCGAATCTGCCCTCCTCTTCTGCAAGACCATTCTCCCAATGTAGTCATGAAACGAGATGGCTAGTGGCAGCGGCACGGGCCGACGGGCAAGAGGTCGCGTGACATCATTTCTCGGCGAGTTCTCCCTTTTGTCTTTCTTGACAGTATTGTTAAAGAGACTTTTATTCCTTAGAATGCCTACATGAGAAGTGTAAAGAGGTTTTTTATGAGAGCTCGAAAAGGCTATTGATTGATTGAAAGAAGTAGGTGCCCTATTGTGGTCCGAGCGCTTTCACAAGCTCCTTAACTGTTCAGAGAATCACACCGCAAATTCGAGACGTGGTTTGTCAAGAAAGCGTTCGTATACATTGTGTTATACATATAGTTTCGTTACGACTGAGTTGCAGTCTAACCTGCGATCCTCCCTTATTCGAGTAGGATTACAGTAAATGTAGTGGCTGGCTCCACAGTGTGCAATGAGGTTACGAAAAGCGTCGAATGGACTCCCCTCTAGATGGCAGGCGCGAACAAGCAAATCCATGTCGTCTTGCTGAATCATCTAAAACAATCTCCAATAAATGTCCTTGTTCCTTTCCTTTGATCGAGTGCACTGTTGTGGGTTTAACTCCTAGCCGGCCACTCTGCCCTCGAGGTGATGAGACTGCTCCTTACAGAAAGAGGTTACGCATGGCAATTTATACACCTCTATTTTCAGGATTTTTGACGACCTGTTCTTCAACAGCCTCCCTTCGGACCTGCGACCGATGTGCGCTGGTTATGTTAGGTATTTTTAAGCCTTTTTTCGGAGTAGAACTTGTGTTGTGTTTGGTAGGTAATTATTTCAATGAAATAAAGTGGATCTGAAAGAATTCAAAGTTGCACTAAGCCACACAAAAGCTGCATTGGTTACGTACATATAGAGCTCGTGCTACACGTTCTTCGCTTTTATTACCGCACAGTGAGTGGCCTCACGCTCCTGTAGTAAACTCGAGAACCAGGAATTAGGGAGCAAAATTTTGAAATTTTCAAAAAAGGCAGAACAACAAAAAAAAACATGCGGATTCGCATCTCTTCGTGTGACTCTCCATGGCTTTGCTCTACGCATCAATCGTGGAATAAGGACATGCGCGCGGCGTATTCCACCGGAATGAGTAAGAGTTACTATTCTCCGATAAGTATACGAAGATACTTACGTAAAGAAAGAAACTTGAACGCGGTGGAAGATTTATGAAACCTGGAGATGATGCACCATGGTTTCGGTTTGCCAGACGTACATATATAGTCTGTCTGTCGTGGTTCGGGAGCGGTTGCCCTCCTAACCCTCCAAACACGACGCATCGAGGTGGTTCGGGGCCCTCGCGGCCTTTCCCAGGCACACGTCATCCTACGGGTCCTTCCCGGGGACCATGCTGGTTTCCCTCCCAGCATGGCCTCCGCTCCCCGGGGCATCACGGGTTCCTAACCCAGGAAGGGGGTTTAAGGAGTACAACCCGCGGGGGCAAGGCTTCCCAGCTCTGGAGCCGAGGGTTCCCCTGCCCCGGCTACAACCCCGCTGCAACAGCAGCACACAACAACTAACTGCGCCTTAGTCGGGCCCCTGCCCTTGGCGCCCCCGATACTACACCCCTATACAAGCAACTACAAATCAAACATACTCACGTTTGTGGCGTATGTTGGTGGCAATACTCGACGTCCTTCTGCCGAGCTTGGAGATGCCAAGCCATCGCGTCGTCGTCCCAGTAGTCCGTCGTCATCGTGGGGCACCTGCCGGCTACCTAAGGCAGCCTGCAGCCGACAGCGTCCATCGGGTATAGCGGACGCTGACTTACCAGCGCTCCGACAGGACGGGACAGCATGCCGGACCATACTGCCGAGTGCCAGTGGCACTCCGAGCCGTCCAGCTTCCTCGCGTTGCCCGGCACAACGCTCCTCCCGGAGGGAGCGAAGTGCGCCGACTGGCAGAGGCGGCTCGCTTAAGTAGTCCCGGCTGGAGGCGGGACCGGAGGCGGAGCATGCCCCTATAGTCGGTGCATGTCACGCGATCGCGGCCAAGGAACGCGGCAGAGCCCAAGCGCGCGGTGCGCCGGGACCACAGTCACGTACCGCGACACTGTCCACTTTCGTGTTGACGACTTGACCGGGGAGACCACCTACTGGATAAGGCAATACGTTGATTCGGGCAGCAATCCGGTGATCATGCTTTTTTTTATGAGAGTTTGAAAAGACTGTTGATTGATCAAAAGCAGTGGGTGCCCCTTTGATCAGAGCGCCTTCACAGCCGCTTGACTCAATCGCGTGGCTACGCCGCCAACTATGAACACGACCTTACCAGGTCTAGGCGGATGTGGTAGCAGAGAAAAGAAAATGTGCACGTCGCGTGGCTACGCCACCAACTATGAACACTACCGTACCAGCCAAGGTACTAGGAGCGGATGTGGTAGCAGAGAAAAAGCAAATATGCGCAAAACTAGAATATCGCAGCCCTCATCCTGCCGTGTGATTTTGGTTAGTGGAGCGGTTAGTGTGTCACGACTAAAGGAGATCAGCACGTGTAAAGAACTTCACTGCTAGCCCTGCAGCAACATTTTTAATGTGGTAGCTAGAAGTAAGAAAAAATCCAACCTTTACCTTTGAAGAATGGTCGTATTAGGTACCGGATATCTTAATGTCGTTTTTTCACCAAGAGTATTGGACCAGCAATATTTCAGTTCAAAACCCGGGGAGGGAGTTAGTTTAATCATAAAATGACTTACTAGGATCCCCTCATCTAACAGTTAGAGTGGCAACCTTGCACGATCCAAGCTCGGAATTTTTTGAGTTAAAAAGAGAGGCAGGTCGGTTTTGACATCCTCTGATAAATCATCCCTGTTACTTGCTAAAAAGTAAGGCCTGGACAAAGTAAGTGTACAGCTGGTTAGCGTAGGGTCTGCATTGCACGACAGAAAAATTAGAACTTATCAGCCTAAGTGGGCAGTTTTTATACG